CACAGCTCTTATAGTGACACCTTAGAACTTGACAAGGCATCGCAGTCCGTTCGCAGAATATAATCGGGCCCTACTATAATCCTTATAGTCACTACTACAGGGTGGGGGGCAGCTTCTAAGTTAAGCCCTACAGCCACTATGCCGGAACCCTGAAACTGAAAGCGCCAGACCCGGAACTCCTGAATCGTACACCCAAAAACCCTGAACCCTGAAGTCGAGACCCCAAATCCCATAGACCCTAAATGCCCTAAATCCCATCGAAACTAAACCCTAGATATGGCAGAATTATAATAAGGATCCCCCAAAATAGTATGGGTAATTATTATTAAGGCTCCTGTACTACACCCCGGCCTGAACTTCAGCCGAGGATGGACCTCATCCGGGTAGGGCTGGCCATAGATGGACTCACAGCCGTCGCCGGTTCCCGTGGCCTCAAGGGCTCAGGTTCAAAGATCTTGGGTTTAGGGTCTAAGGGTGTAGGGGCTCCGGAAGTACGACAAGACTCTGAGGAAAGGCCCCGAAGCTGAGACCAGGGCATCTCCACCTTGGACCTTTGCGTGCTTAACTGGGGGGGTTGGACTTCATAGGTTGGCCTGAATAGGCTTAGAAGGGTTTTTCATAGCATAGCTACGATCATGTTAAGGAATGGGTAGTGAAGATGGTGTGTTGGCATATATAGTATGGCATTTAAAGGACTGAAAAGAATAGTTCTTTTGCAGTGTAAGCCTCTCTCTCTCTCTCTCGCTCTCTCTCTCTCTCTCTCTCTCTCTCTCTCTCTCTCTCTCTCTCTCTCTCTCTCTCTCTCTCTCTCTCTCTCTCTCTCTCTCTCTCTCGCTCTCTCTAGATATCTATATATATATATATATACACACACATACATAGATATACACATACATATATATATATATATACACATAGAAAGCTGAGTTATCTTTGGCTCTTCTTGCTAAACCTTCAGCGACCCCGCTCAGGCACCAAAAAACGGCTTTTCCGAGACGTCCGAGGGGCCAGGAAGTCCCGAATCACTCGGTGGAACTGAGTACCATTGTAGTACCTGGGGTTTAGGGGGTTTAGGGGGTATAGGGCCGTTTAGGGTTCTTTTTTTTTTTTTTTAAAAGTGCAGTGGGGCCTTTTCTGCATGAGGTCCAGCCGTTAGCCGTTTAGGGTTCAGGGTTTAGAGTGTAGGCGTTAGGGTTTAGAGTTTAGGGTTTCGGGTTTAGGGGCTTAGCGGCTTAGGGTTTAGGGGCTTGGGTTTTGGGGGTTTCGGGTTTAGGCCGTAGCATCCGGCTTCACAGCAACGACAACACAGATGGTAACAGTGATAACTAACGATGACGATCACATGATATGAGCGATGCCAAGAACTGTCTGGCCTTCGTTTGCAGCCAGACAGGTACTGATATTGGCGATGAAGGGCGTCGAGGAAGCAAGTAAGGCCCCCGTTGGTGCAACCGCTCAATCAGTCTAGCACATCGCTGCATGCTGCAAAGGGCGCAAACCCCGACAGCGGAAACGTGAACTTGATGTTCCAGCCCAGTGCTTCGAATGTATGCCCTATAAGCACTGCGGCCCTACGGCCGGTAAACCCTTAAGAGACCGAAGGATCTTCGGGGGACCAGGAGGTCGAGCAAGCACCTAGCTTCTCTCTTCAGTTAGCCTAGGAAGCAAAAGCACTGCATTACGAGCGAAAGTCTTGCGAGGTTACCCCTCAACCCTAAACCCTGGGATTTGCGGCAATTTGGGTCCTCACTTGGGTTGTGATCGTGAGCTTCGGGGTTTCAAGAAAGGGTTCGAGCCCCGACACCGATATCCTACACCGCGGACGTAGGAAGGACCCTGCAGCCGCAAACAAAATTGTATGAAGTGTAAAGGGCCCGGCCCTTCCAGGATCAGCTGGCAGAAATTTCGGCAGGCCTGCTTCAAGAACGCCATACAGTATCTGGTTGGTTAGTACTGCACTGGATTTATCATACATCGGTTAGGATTCATAATGCTGACGCAGCACTCATCATACTTACCAGGAGCATCAGTTCTCTTGTCACCAAAGCTGAAATCCTCCATCCGCAAAAGCGTGGGGCGTACGTTTTAAGACCAGGGTTCAACACCTTGATCACCACATGAATGAAAGGCTCCGAAATTTGACGCCAACTACATCCTGGAAATGTTGCTACCTAGACCTCCAAAAGTAGGTAAAATAATGGCCCAACACGTATAAAAGGCCATTATTCTACATACTTCTGGGGTCTAGGTATTTCAAAAGCACCCGAAGCCACTCACCGCCCAAATCCAGGCCAAACCGGCCGAGCAGTCTCTGTGGCCCTCAGGTACTCTTCAGGTTGACAAGAGCCTACCTATAGTCTCCATTGTAGTTCCTTTTTTTGGTTAACCAGTTTCATGGTTAGGACCCTATAATAAAGATTTTGGTTAACCAAAAAAAGGAACTACGATGGAGACTATAGGAAGGGCCTAGACATGTGCCTAAAAGGTCTCTCCCGCAAAAGATAAGCGGAGCTGCTTGAATCAAAGAGTATCAATATAGGTTCAAGGGTCACGGATCACTAAACATTCTATAAAATCTTGGTCCGCAGAAAGCCACTCTAAGCACAAACTCTGAAACACAAATCCGCAGAACTAAACCTGAGGTACCTGTACTAACGTGCTTCCCGCTCCTTGGGCGTTTCTGTTGCCCAAAGCTCAATCTCCAGATCGCCTGGAGGCTCCATGTGGTCGGCTTGGGGCTGAATGGTTTAGGGTTTAGGGTTTAGGGTTTGGGGAAAAAATTGTACCTTTTTTGGTTAACCAAAATCTCTATTATAGGGTCCTAACCATAAAACTGGTTAACCGAAAAAAGGAACTACAATGGAGACTATAGAAAGGGTCTGAACACAAGCGCCATGAGAACAAGGTGGTGATGTCCATGAACATAGTGGCCAGTAGACTGGGGTCGTGATGTCCATTATTCTGTTTCTAGGACGAAAACAATGACCAAACAGCCAATATTCAGACCTCTAGGTTTAAGTTAAAACTTCGAGTTGAGACAGGCTTCCTTCCTCATTGTGAACAGCGGGCTTCACTTAACCCCTGTGATTCAGCTGCGGCTTCCGAATGTGCCTCGCTCTCATGGCCCACGCCGGAACCGGTGTCAATACGTCCCTGAACCCCCAAAACGGATGCCGATACCAGCAAAAACCTCAGCCCAACAAACCCCTATAGAGAAGCCTAAATCCAGCAGAAGATGGCCTGCAGCAGTGTTGACTAAAGCTGCGGCTGCCCAAAAAACGCTTCTAAACTTATCCGCGACCTGGCCCCAAGCTGCAAAGCTCCTGAACCATCCTTCTTAGAGACTCCAATATCCCTTAATTAAGGAATATACCCTAAATTATAGTAGGATCCCTTATATGATTTAAGGTATATTCCTTAATTCAGGGATATTGGAGTCTCTGGGTTGGGTCTCGCTCTGAGGGGCAGACCATGTGTGGTCTGCAGGACAGCCTTGCCCTTTGTGCCAGGCTCCTGGGAGGAGGGTTCAGGGTTTAGGGGTTCAGGGTTTAGAGGGTTTAGGGGTTTAGTGCTCAAACCCACAAGTGTTGTGTGGACACCCTTCCACGGCTTCGAGTCTCGTCAGAGATAGAAGAGGTGCATATATTTGGGGGCCAGATGTGCGCCCCGAAACCTGGTGTATCATCCCAGAACTTGGCCTGAATCGAAACGGCTTGGGCTTCATTACATGAATGGGCTTAGGGTTTTTCGTTGTGTATCTTGAGGCCTCCGGGTTCAGGGGGCTCTGGGTCAAGGTCAAGGGAGGGTTGTGCAACTGCCGCAGTAACCGTTTGCATATACATGACATGTGCGTGGCTGACTTCTGAACCCTCCTACAAGTTAAACTATTGGCCTCCTGATTATGGTTCATATATAAACCCCAAAAGTTAAAGTCCTGAGAGCCACCCAGAAGAACTTATTACCGTATCCTGACACCTTGCCTTGCCACTGCCACCTAACTTGCCTTGCCTCTGCAGGTCTGGCACCAACCATAAACCCCTAAAACCTAAATCCTGAAACTCTGAAACTCAAGATCTTAAGAATGGTTAACCAAAATCTCTATTATAGGGTCCTAACCATAAAACTGGTTAGCCAAAAAAGGAACTACAATGGAGACTATAGGTACACCCGAACAGCCCGCAAGCTCCTTAATGTAGACTTCGGACATGGCGCTTTAGGGTGCGGTCGGTCTCCTTCTGCTTTCTGCTCTGAGATCTGTGAAGGCTCGGATGCTTTGCGTCTGGAGGTGTAGGGGTTGACTTGGAGATCCTCCTAATCTATACTTAGCTGCTGGCTGCAGAGAGTTATAGGAGAGTATATAGGTACATTTTGTAAGAGGGTTCAGGCTTTGAAGTTGGTGCCGTCTGAAACGACCTATGCTTTTACCGCATGTCACGTTTGAGCCGCGGCGGGGAGGAGTGCACCGTGACGACAGCCCGCAGAGCCCCCCAAACAGGGCCCAGCTTGCGCACACAATCCCAACTGATGGCTGCAATGTGTTCAGGCTCTTCAGGAACTGGAGATATCTAGAGATGGCATCCACGAGCATCCTTTTGCTCCCAACTCCTCAGCAGACAACCATGATGGACGTCGTCCGTAAAAACGATGGTCGAGGAGATCTATACAAGTCTAAGATAGTCTAAGTGACGCGCAAGTCGCGCCTCAGATCTTTAAAACGATTGTCAAGGCTATCTATACAAGATATCCTGAGGCTAAGCGGCGAAGGGGGTGTGAGGGAGGGGGCCTTTTTGGATGCATCTCTGCTCCTGGACCCTGACTCATATAGCCCCCACCAAGTTGCTTACAACTTCATACATAATCTAGCTGTTCCGCTGACGTACATTATAACGAAATGGATGTCAAGGAGCTCACCCTCCCACACTACACTCAGAAGGGTTCCCCTAGCCGCGAACTAAGGACAGTGCTAAGCACGGCTACGGCGGCTACACCGGCTACGCCGGCTACACCACCCAGCACTCCCGAAGCGAACGACCGAAAGTCGTGTAGTCATTCCGTGGGCCACCGAAGGCCAAGCCATCATCCCTGAAGATCTCGATGGTGGTGCCATCCTTGTAGGCCACTGAGAAGTGTCTTCCGTCGGCGTCGCCGATTCGAAAGCCTCCGATCTGCACAAAGCGATCACCAAAAGTGATGCCTGTCGGAGGGCCCACAGGACGATAATTTGCTCCCGTCCACAAGTCCCAGTAGTTGTTGACATGCGGGTGACGTGTGCCATCCGAACGCCAGATCTGTCCGACAGCGCCGCTGCTGTGGGAGATGGAGAAGTGTGTCGCGTCCACTTCACCCAGCCGCCACTGGCCGATCTGAATAAAGCGATCTCCAAAGAGGACTTTGTTGGTGGCCTCCTTGGCCTCCAGATACCAGCTGTCCGGATCGGCGAGTGGCCCCGCATGCAGAAATCCACCAGCATCGTACATCGCAGCCATCGTGCCAAGGCGGTGGGTCACTCGGAACTGATGATGTGTCGCCAAAGAGCTTTGCGCAAGGCGCCAGTCGCCGATCTGCAAGAAGTCCTCACCTGGATGGTTGTCAACATGAGGGTCCCTTTTTGGGTACCTATTATAGTACGGCACCTAATAATTAGGGGGTACCTTTAGAAGGGATCCTTAAAGGGTTCCTTAAAGGGATCTACAAGGGTTCTACAAGGGGTTTAGGTAATAATTAGGGTATCCGAAAAGGGGGCCCTAATTTTGACAACCATTCACCTGCAGTGATGCCGGGGCAGGAGCCCATGAGCTGGACACTACCACAGTGCCACTGCGTATACCTAGTTTAGGGTTTAGGGTTTAGGGTTTAGGGTAACTTAGAAGCCTAGCAAAAATGATAAAATTCTAGCTGTTTCTTGGGGAGTAATTCTAATAAGCAAAAAATCTAAAACATATTTCTAAGTACCCCTAAGGTACCGATCCTTGATCATCCAGGTATGCATATCACCGGTGTACGGGTGGACGGTCCCATCGGATCGGAAGATTTGAATGGCATGGCCAAACCGGTGAGAGACCAGAAAGATTGTGCCATCACCATCCCCGATGCGAAACCGCCCAAGCTGGATGAACCCATCTCCAAACGTGATGTCTGCAGGAGGACCGGCAGAGTGCACGGCCCAGCTGTTCCAGCCAGTTGTTGGGCCTGGATGCAACGTCCCATCCTGCCTGAAGATCTGTGCCGTCTGTCCACCTTGGTGCGAGATAGAAAGGTGGTCGTTGTCCATTGCTGCCAGGCGCCACTTGCCAAGCTGGATGAAGCCCTCTCCGAAGGTGATGCCATGGGGAAAGCCAAACGGTCGGTGCCAGGCACCGTAGTCCGTTCTGGGCCCGTAAAAGACGTAGCCATCGTCGCGGTAGATCACTGCCGTCTGGCCGTCCTTGTGCGAGAAGGAGAAATGTGTTGCGTCGATGGCTGCCAGACGCCACTGGCCCATCTGGATGAAGCCTATACTGAACTTAGAACCCTAGCAAAAATTATAATTTTAGCTGTCTCTTAGGGGTTATAATAAACAAAAATTAAAAATCATTTCTAAGTGCCCCTAAGGAGCGGTCCCCGAAGGAGCCGAAGTCCCCTTTGCATTCTCCGTACGCTATCTCCGTGACGGCCTTGCACGTCCATGCTGCTGGCTGTCGGTTGTTAACGAGATAGGTCCACTGGCCCCAGGTGTATGGGTGCAAGGTTCCGTCGTTTCTGAAGATCTGGATGCTGTTGCCAGAGTGGCGATGAGTGATCAAAAAAAGGTGACCGTTGCCATCTCCGATCCGGAAGTTGCCGAACTGCAGGAACCTGAGACAGCCCCCAAAAAAGGTGCAACGGGAAGGTTCCTTTCTTTTATTTTGCTTCTCACTTGAGAGGAGTTCTCTGAAAGCTCTCTCGTGCAAACCGCTTGTCACAGATGATTTTCACACGACTTCTGCGCGCTGTGTTTCCAAGGAGGCAAGGGGCCGGTCGCCGAAGCTGACGCCCACAGGCATGCCCTCCGGACGATGCCAGAGGCCCCAGGCCTTGGCACGTCGCGCAGGTTTAGGGCCTTTATAAGGCTATTGGAGCTTTAGGGTTTAGGGCTTTGGGTTTAGGGTCTAGGGTATGGTGTATGGTCTTTGCACGGCCGAGAAACGTTGTGCATGGAAGGGTGAAGCGTGCCATCGTTTCTGAAAGCCTGGACAGTCCAGCCATAGATGTGCCTCGGAAAGCCCCCACATCGTTGAGTCGGAACAGTTCAAACGTCTTGAAAGATTCTGGAAGCAGTCTCGCAAGCCTTGACTCCAACTCAAAGCTGCTTTGGATTGACAGACCTGGTGGCTGATATTGTGTGTGTCACATGCGGCCTTGTCAACAGTCTCTTTCAAGGACATCGCTTATGAACTAACATGAATGAGTGGGAGAGCAACTTCTACCCAGAGGCCCCATAGTAGTTCCGTTTATCAAGAAGGAACTACTTTGGGGCCCTTGGGTAGACGCCAGTCCCGTCATCTTACCAGCTGGAGCCTGAGCTCCAACCGCCCTACCGCGCCTCAAGGCATTCCTCTCAAAAGGAGTACCCGTTCTCTCCCTTGACTGCACATTTCCAGAAAACTGCCTGCTGAGGCATGGTCTTACACCCACCTCATACGAGGAAACGGGAACACAATTTACGCTCTCTCTCTCTCTCTCTCTCTCTCGCTCGCTCTCTCTCTCTCTCTCTCTCTCTTTCTCTCATTGCAAGCTGATACTTTTGCGGCTGCTGGCACGAAATTGAGAAGAGGTTATCGTCAGCGGCGCCGAGGCGGAATTGGCCGATCTCTATAAACTGAAAGCCGAATCTGATTCCCTTGGACGGTCCGATGGGCCTGCACTCAAGCAAGGCCGCTCAACAAACCAGCTGCAAACACACGACGGTTGCCCATCAACTGTGCCCCCGCTCCTGTTCCACACGCTATTACCAAACGCGTGCCACATGGTAGGGTGGAGGGTGCCGTCGCTCTTGTAGATTTGAGCCGTCCAGCCATCCTGATGTTGAGTAAAGTCTGCGCTCAAGCACACCTTCAAAATGGCTTGGCACATGCTTGGGCGTCAGTGCTTACAAACAAAGCCGAGATCCTTGTGCGAGATCGAGAAGTGTGTTCCGTCGACGTCTGCCAAGCGCCAATCACCAAGCTGAATGAACCGATCTCCCATGGGAATGTCGTGGCATGCGCCCGCCACCGCCGGATTCCGGGTGACGCTCTTTGTGACCTGTGCTGATGGTGGGACCTGGTTGTCCGGCTCAGGGCTCCTGCCAGATTGTTGGCACCCGAGCTCCACCGCGCAGGGGGCACCGTCGAAGCCGGGCGTCTTCAGTGGAGTCTCGCAGAAGATCTTCTCGGGCACCAGGACATCAATCGCGCTGGCCGAGAAGTCCAGGCTCATGGAAGGGATGAGGCCGGCCATGAAATCTCCGGCTGCGTTGGCAGCCGTATCGATTTTGTCCACCACCCAGTTGCTCGGATCCGGAAGGCAGCCCAGCGGGGCCAGCAAGGCCATCTTCCCAGCCAACACGGCGTCCTCTACTTGAATGTTCTGGCCGCTGCTAGCAAATTATGGTGGTTATACAAAAGAAGTAGTAGCGAAGTAGTAACGAGTAACCAAGTAGTAAGTAGGTGGTAAAAAGTTCTAATTGGCATAATATGATTTAAATGCTTAAGCTGTTAGCTAATATTGCTAACTCACGTGAAAAAACTAATCAGCTAGTTTGTACTACTAACCACTTAGGCAAGTATGTTTTGGAAAGTCGAAGAATGCGTTTTTGATGTTTAAACTTTGTATTTTCGCAAAGCTACCTCTTGTTTGCTTATCCTTCGCATGACTTGCATGGCATGCACTTGTCGTCAATGTCCTTGGCATGATGTGCTGACTTTGCAGTTGCATGAATGCAGTTCATGCATGCATGTCCGGATCCCGGCATGTTGTTGTGCAATTTGGCTTATCGGCACGAGCTTGCATGTTTTGTTGCATATGTTGCATGCATTGAGTTAATTTGATTTGGACATTGCATGCTTCATGCATGTCTTGTTTTGGCAATTGCATGCAAAGGTCCTGGTTTGCGAAATGTTGTGGAGTGGCTTTGCTGATGCATGTTACTTGCATGCAGGATGTGTTTTGAACGAGATTGCATGCTTGGTTGCATGGCATGTGTACACATGGTGTTATCTCATGTTTCATGTCGTTAACATGCATATGAATATATTTTTCGGCATCCATGGCAGCTTGGGTCCAAAAAAGCGAAAGGGACAGGGGCATTTTGTGGAAGTCATGGCTCTCAGTGATGCTGTGAAACAGCAAGCAGATGCCATCATGGCCTCAAAAGATGTTGCGAACCTGAAGGTTCAGAAGCTCAATGCTTTGTGGACGAGCCACGGGCTAGCATCCTACAAGAAGCGTACACCGGACCGATTCTTGATTCACTCTATGAAGCGTGGCGGGTGCATGTTGAACGGTCACGACATGATATTGAAAGGAGAAAGGTGCTTTCCCAGGGTCTTCGCAAGGTGCTCCGCTGTGGCCTTCGCTCTCAGTTAAGGTTAAGGCCCAAGCGATTGCTGTGCTGGGTAGGCCCCACAGGTTTTGTCCTGCTATTCGGCCATAGGGTGCAATGGGGGCGTCTAATGCAAGTGGCAGCTGCTATTCACACCGCTTGCGATGCCAAAGCTCCGCGTAGGACTGGCAGCAGTGTCGGCCGCTTTGTCGACTGACATTGCCCGGCCTGCCAAGCCGTCACAGGACCCGGTGCCTCGGCGCGCTCCTGCTGACTCTTCTGTTGGCGATGATGACCCCGAGCTTGGCCTGAAGCTGCGCGAGCGCAGGAAGGCCAAGCGGAAAAGGAAGCGACAGGCAAAGACGGCTGCTTGTCGCCAGGTTGCACATGACATGATGCAGCATGACATGGCAGACGTCGCTGGTGGTGAGTGTGGGGTCGCTGCCAGTCCTCTCCACGCTGTTGGGCCGACAGCCTTTGATGATGACTCGTTGTCTGCACCTACGGCCGTGTCTCCCGATGCCAAGCGGAGCCGGTTAGATGGCGAGGGTGCAGGTCGGCCAGCAAGTTTTCGTCGATGACCCATTCCACGGTCCGGCTTAATGTGTTCCCTTCTACGGCTTCTGTCCTGGAAAGGATACCTGAGGCATGGCGCAACAACGTTACTGGATTTACCGATTCTCGAAGACGCTATGTGCCAGTGAACCCTTCGACGACCCCCTTGCCGGGTGAGCCCGTCAAAACTGACAAGGGGCGGGGAAGTTAATTCGTTGGGGAAGCAGCCCCCCTACATATTTCTGCATGTTTTTTCCTGCAGGCATTGCCTGTTCAATCGTACACGTATTCTCAGTGGCCATGTGCAGGCCTGGCAACCCTGTTTCGAGGTGTGGCGATTGCTTATACACCGCGGGGACATTTGAATGTCTCGGAGGATCAGCTGCAAGAGCTACGTGGCCTGGGATTCTTCGATGAGAGAATGCAGCAGTCTCAAAGCAAGGCAAGCCACATCGAGCACGGCTGCGGCAGGCTAGAAGCAGAGATCGAGCACGGCAGCAGCAGGCTAGAAGCAAAGCTCGAGCGCGGCAGCTGCAGGCTAGAAGCAGAGAGTGAGCAACAGCGAGCATGAAACCAACTGCAACAACCACATTCCCCAGATCCCACCAACCGAAGCAAACCAGGGCTCTTTGGAGGATGATGTCATGCGTGCGAACAGCTGCATTGAACCTAACGCTCTTGTGCGACAGCTCATGCAACCTTCCAGCACTCGCCTCGCCTTCGTTGTCAACGTGTCTGAGTGCATTGTTTCCACGCTCCCCAGGCAGTCCTTCAACCCAGAGCTGTCCACCCTGAAAGCGCCAACCCTAAAACCACTGACTCTCGTTCCGAAGAGTCGCGATCTTTGTAAGGTCGGAACACCAAGTTGACTGCAACGGTCACTGACAAAATCTCCAAGTCAGGGTGCTGCTGTCGAACCAACTTGCAAAGAAGCTTCACCAAACATGGATGCCGACGTGTCTCTGAAGTCAACCCCAACACCCCTCCATGAACAAACAATCCGAATGTCCACATAGGCAATGCCTGAGCTTCATCACTTTCGGGCTGCCTCGACCGATCTGATCGCCGCTCGACTAGGCTTGCCAGTTGCGCAGCACTCCAAACCTCATCGTAGGTCACCCTACCCACCCAGACTTCGGTCCCCAACGCATTCGGTCTCAACTCCAACCCCACAGTCAAGGAGGGACAAATTGAGGCCAACCAAAAGGTCGCTGCACAGTTTTCGTCTTGCATGGCCAGTCCACAAGGCAAAGAGTTGTTCATGACTCATGACGGTTGGTGCCAGCCACGCAACATGCATCTTGAAAAGCTTGATGTTTGGCAAGATTGAACAGAGCACGAACAGCTGCATGCAACCGGGCCACCCGGTCCAGGAAGCCTTGGTTTCAGGCTGGACCTGGCTTGTTCTGTCGGAGGTGTTGGAGCAGCAGTGGCCAGGCCTGCCGCTCCTGTACTCCGCGGTTTTGAACAATTCCAACTCCGTCCACGCTGCCAGCACAGAAATGGAAAGCACCATGCAATTGAAGACGCAACATGTTCCAGCCGGCAGGGCATTTTCTAGCACAGCTGCTCCTAGGGCGGATAGGATTCCTATGCTCAGCGTGTCTGGCTCTGGTGCAGCGACAGCTGCAGATGGGGCGGCTGCCATGGAGTTGTCGGCGGAAGACATGCTGCAGGACACGAGCTGTGGGCTTCAAGCAGAAGCCGGGTCTTTTGGGACCAATATCCCTGGGAGAACTGGCGCCTGACAGATGCTTGCGGTGGCGGACCGATGTTCTGCGACTGTCCGTTTTGCTTCGGTGCCAGCCCAGGATCATGCAGAAGCAACGATGTTTGGCTGCATTTAGTGGGTTGGCGCCGCTTCGCTTTTGCTCGCATGTTGCATATTATGTTGCAAGTTGCATGGCTTGGCTTGCATGATTGAGTCTTGGTTGCATGTCATGAATGCATTGAGACGACCTTTGCATGCGCAAGTCAACCAACCCGGCCACAAAGCCTCAATTCAGTTATCTGAATCGAGCAGCCGAGCCCCCACCCCCAATTCAGAAGGATGAATTGAGAACTGCATGGACTGCTAGCCCAATTCAGCAGGATGAATTGAGACGCAGTCCCAGACCTCACCAATTCAGTCAGCTGAGTGGGGGATGTGAGCCACGTGTTCTCAATTCAAGTAGCTGGATTGAGGCGTTTAGCTGCCTAAGTGTATCTATGCTGGGTATACCTTTGATATACTTACTCAAACTAGAAGAAATGCAGCATCTGCAGTGTGTTAGGAATGGTTTCCTACTATGGTATAACACCTGGATCTTGCATGACCTCGCTTGTCGCTTGATGTTCTTGTGAACACTCATGCATGATGCTAGCTTGTTTTGATGTGAACAGAAGCCGTGCAGCACGACTTCGTTCGAGTGACAGAGGGGGTCCTGGACAATTGCTTGTGACGCGAGTCTCTGGCCACAGGCCTTGTTTGGAATAGGAACCCAGCAGCCATGGCCCAACAAGGCAGAAGTATGCAGCAGTGCAGTCGCTGCAGGCAGCAGGCCCGATGCACAAGTGCCACATGATTTCGTGCACCAAGCCTGTGGCGCCCAATCGCAAGCGCTGCTGCAGCTCCTGCCGCTTGTCTGGGACCGGGCTGCATCACACTCGACGATGCGGGAACGGAGATTACAGCGCCATCTCCTGGACCTCGGGCTTCAACTGCCTCTACGTGTGCACAAGCTGGCTGTCCCAGACTCTGCAACCTGCCATTAAGTTTTGCTGCTCTTATTGCAAAAACACCCGAGGTAAAGAACAAGGTGACTTGCTTCGCCAGGCAGAATCGCCAAGGGTTCGTTGCCGGTGCCCCGACCACAAGCAGCTCGGGACATCAAAATTCGGCAGAATTGAACTTAATGGGCTGATGTCGGGCGGCAGATGCAACCTGAAAACAAGAGCGCACGTGCCTGTGGTCCTGCCCGCCAGCAGAACTTCGGTTGTTTCCTGCTTGCATGCAACCCACAACGATCAGTGTTTGTGGACTTCATGCATGTTGTCGCTTGCATCAGGATTGTCCTTCACTCGCACAGCTAGGTCCTAGATGCATCCCCTGGTCCTGGGTCGTTGGGCTCATGGCGCTTGCTCGGGGCAGCAAGGAATTCGGGAAAGAGCTTTCTGATGTAGAGAAGCTTTTGAGCGTCTCTCGGAATCCACAGATCCAAGCGAGTCTGTTGAATGTCTTGGAGAAGAAAGTGCTAACAGCCGACAATTTGCCGGCAGGGGAGTACGTTACCATGCTGCAGTCTGTGCATTGGAAAAACACACAGTGGCTTAAATGGCGAAAGAAGAAGTCGTGCAGCTTCTGCACGGCGACGTCAGGGACGTCCCCGCGCTAATTGCCAGACGCCTTCGGTGTTTTGGTCTCACCAGCCTGAAAGAATGTACGAAGAAAGCATGTGTCACCCTGCATGTGCAAGCCCATCTGTAGCAGAATCTCCACCGACCTAATGCAGACAGAATCTACAAATTGGCGACTGACTCCCAAGAGATTTTTCACAGCATCAACCTGGTTGCTGATGTGCCTCCTTTCGATCGCCAAGGCCTACAAGGGTCCTCAGCCCAGCTGTGCTGAACTGCCGCAGCTGCACGCACTGTCCAAATCGTGCCCCGTCCGCACCACCAGCCAGCTGCTTAAAGGCGGGTTGGAGACCATGAAAGAAAGGGTTGCCGAGGAGGAAGCCAAAGAACGTACAATGAAGCAGTCCTCGAATTGCATGCCGCCTAGACACGAGGTGCTCCGCCAGCTCAAGTTGCCGACGGAGGCGCCTGCAACTTCCACGACTGCACTAGTCAATGCAATGCCAAACGAGGGCAAGAGCACTGGCGATGCTCCGGAAAGCAAGCCGTTGGCACAGGCAGACGAAGGCAAAAGCTTGAAACAGTACGAAGCAGAGACATTGGCATCAGAAGCCTTGCAACAGAGAATCAGAAGCTTTGCAAAAGGCCTGCAACGAAGGTCCAAGCGCCGAAAGCTGTTAAGAAACACCAGATGAAGAACGAGACAAAGGCGAACAAGAATGACGGGAGGCTCACGTGCTGGGGCTGTGCAAGATGCCGTGGCAATGTGTTCGGTTGCGACAATTGCAATTTCGATGGGTTCACCGGTGTGCGACTCAACGGTCGCGCCGCGTGGAAGAAGTACATGCAGGATCGCAAGCTTCTGGCGACCAAGAAGTGATCCACGTCCCGGGCTTTGGGTAGACGTGCATGGAATGCTGTTCTGGCCTCTATGCCCGAGGGCTTTCGATGCAACATGTATGGTTGCATGCGAACTACCTTACGATAAAGGTAAACCGGGGGATTCCCGTACAAGACTGCAGTGTGCAGCCTTGGACAAATTGCAAATCTGCTTGCTGTTGCTAGCAGCTCGCCCGTGCTTGTCAATTGCTTGCATGCATGACTTTGTAAACTGAAGTTCTTGTGGCACATGCAATTCTCTGAGTCCAGCTTGTTAGTTTAGGGATCAAGAGCCATGCTTTATGGCTGAGTCCTGCAGTTCTGCTTCCGAGAAGCAGAAGCTGGAGCATCTCGATGCATTCAGAAGGGGCATTTCATTCGTCACATGCAAAGCCTTGGCGGCGATTTTAAACAAGGTGGAGCACGAAGGAGTGCCAGCATTGCATGGAAGGAAGAACATCAAGACTCAAGCAGGCGGTTCAGGAGAAGATAACCTCCATGGGTGGAGATTGTGGGGCGTCGCTGAAGCAGCTGACAGCTGTGCGACTTGATGGCGGGGATTTACACTTTCACGTCCTAAATCTACCGGCAATGTTCCAAGGACTATACAAGCAGGAAGGATATTGGCACGATGATTTCAATCACAAGCACATGCAAGACCCCTCCAGCTTGCGGTCCCCATAGAAAGGAGTTCTTTATGCTGATGAAGTGCACCCGGGAAACCAGCTTTCCAGTACTGGTCGCAGCTGTTGGTGTGTGTATTTTTCCTGGTCGAACCTTCAACAACAAGGCTTATCCGAGGAACGCCGCTGGTTTACCTTGTGTGTCCTGCGGTCTGAAGAAGTGCAAAAAGTTGCAGCTGGTATCGGGCAGATGTTCAGACTGACCTTGGAAGATATGTTCGCACAGGAGCTCGAGAGCCCACTGCATGGCATTGTCATGAAATCAACTAATGCATTGTTTGCTTTCCGTTGCAACCTCCACATCTTTTGCAAGACGGCATTGCCCAGAAGCAAACATTCGCCAATCGCCAAGACATGGGCTCTCGTGTTTGCATGCTTCGCAAGAATATTTTCAAGGTTAAACATGAAGATGATATGGACGACGATGGCAAGATCAGCTCCAAACACGTCGCCCTGTCCTCCTGCGACCTTGCCTGTTTTCGGCAGACAAAGTCAAGAGCCACAGAAAAGCAGGACATCTGAAGTGTAGTGCATCCGAAATTTTGGGTTTGTGCTGCCAGAAGTACAAGATGCGAAATCAGCTCTTCTAGCATGCTTGCACGTGCTGGAGCTCTTGGTTGATGCAATTATCGTGCCACTCTTGCCCGGACAATTGCTCCAAGCTTGCGAAAATGCCATGCAATTGACGGTGGCGGCAGGTTGGGCTTCTTTATACCTCTGATTAAATCAGTTCTATTTTATTTACAAATAATGGGGGTCACCGATGCGGCCGAAGTTCCATTGTATACTCCACTTGGATTCCTGTTACCAGCGATTGGGACGCAGTCCATGCAATCATTCCAGTCTTACCTTGCAATCTTGCCAATCTCGATACTTCCAGGCAATCCCTTTACATGCATGCCATGCAAGAAATGCAATCATGCATGCTCAACACTTCGATTCCTCGAGTTTTTCTACACAAACTCGGAAAGTCTACATCTAAATACTGACATTTCCCAATGTACTTTCTTTGTTTTCGCTCTTGCGCTTCCGGTTTTCTTTACAAAACCGGTGGTTAAAGCTGTTTTCTACACGTTAGCAACCTCTTCTAAGTTTGCTCATTTATATGCCTTCACTAGTTATACATGGTAAGCAACACCCAGAACATTCAAGTACTAATTCCAAAAACGAACAGCCCAAAAAACGATCTCCTTATAAGTAGGGTGTAGTGGCCCTTATAAGGAAGAATAGAATTGTGTCCTTGATGGCTTCCTGCAGTAGTGCTGTGTCGAACTCCCCCTGGAAAGTGGAGGGCAAGGCGAAAGCCGAGATGCCGACGTCCGAGTAGACGTTCAGCGCCTGCTCTGAGAATTTTTGTTGGGTTTATGGTTTTGGGCATAGTGAAAAAATGTTGTTGCGGGGGTGGGGGGGGGGGCTTTTGAAACATAAATTGGGAGGCTCATGACAGCATGTATGAACAGCACAATCAATATCGGAGCACAATCTGGGCAGAAATTCTAGGCTTCTGGCGGCTGCTCCGCACATCTGGACCTGGTTCGGCTGAGAAGACGCGCCGTCCAGGACTTGTGAGCTGCGAGCTTGGAAGCTTAACGTGCCCTCAGCTTTTGCTTCAGCATGGAACATAGGGTTGAAGGTAACCGGCACGCCAGGCATAGGCCAAACCTTAGCCGCATAATGCCACGCTATGCCACGTTGCACTCCGAGTGGGGACGACGTAACTTCTCTACACAGGCTGAGCTTGGAGCCGTGAAGACTGGCCCTGTGCCAATGCGCACGGACGCTCTGGCACTCGCCCCAATTGCGAAGCCTTCCTGCCCCGGCGTGTCAAAACTGGTTTTGCGGTTTAACAGTTTTAACACTGACTAGTGGACCGGAAAGCTTGCGCCACGTGCGAAAACGACCAAAAAGGACTGGGGCGAGTTGCCTCGCACAGCCGACTCCCCCGTTTCTGCCTGGCCCGGGAACGGTCGCCCACTGAGAGAGCATTTGCTTACAATCAGCCCGACTTTGTCGAAGGATTCATGAACTGAGGACGCCAGCCTCCTAACCACACGGCCAGTTCCTACTCCGTCCCCCCCACCACACGCACCCAAGACTTGCCCCATGCCCCACACAAAGAATGTAAAACCGCGTGGGCAAAGCGTGCGAGAAACGGTTCACTGATGTTTACTGTCCTTACCTTTGATTAATAGGGAATGGAGGGTACATTGATAACTACTGTTGCTACCATTCTTCCATTCCCCATACTAACCAAAGGCAAGTGTTCCCTTCCCTTCCTGGTGCCAGATCGTCGGGGTCTCGAATTCTGCGTTGGCTTGACCGTTGGGGTTGACCGTAACCGTGCCCTGGACCTGGACATCGACAGCGGCTCCCGCATCAACGGTTCCCGTGAGGGAGCCTTGAATCTCCACCTCCGCAAGCATCTGAAGCAGAAGCACCAGGCAGAAGTTCGAGCCGCAAATGACCTTCTTCTTGGGCTTGGTGGGGAATCTCCTCTCAGCCCTCACGGCGCAGCTGCCTTCCGCCGAGACGAAGGCATCGAAGGACGCCCGCACCAGTCCGCTGATGGTGTACTCTGTACTACCATCGGTAGCCACCTTCACCTCCAAGGTTGGCTCGAACTGCACGGCTCCTTCGAAGGCCATGTCCAAGGTGGTGTCGCAAGAGCCTGCAGGAAGTCGACTTCAAAGAACCACGGCTCCTCAGTGGAACTCCGGAGCCCTTCTTGTTCTTGTCTGCATTCTGGCCAGGCAACTTCAACTTGCCGTTCTTCAGCTTCGTGATCAGGCCCGTGGAGGCTTGGGTTTCGAAGAGTCTCGTGAACTCGGATGCTTGCTGCAACACACACTTCACCCTGAAGTCATTGGTGGTGACTGTGACAAAGCTTCCGGCGCTGCAGTCACACTGGTCACCAATCAACACCTCACACAAGGAGATTTGGTTGACCACACAACTGAGAAAGCCCTCGATTGCGTTCCACACATCTTGTGCGAAGCCTGTAACCAGCGGCCCCAACTTCTTGATGCCGTCCCCCAAGTTATGGGCCAAGCTTGTCGCCTTGTTTCCGATTTCGTTCGCCATGGTGGTGGCAAACGAAACGCCCTGGTTAACGGCGGCCTCTGCCTCGCTTCTGATATCTCCTTCCCGCGTGACGGCCGTCTCTGCGACGACCTCGCCGAAGTCCTCCACCGACTGGCCAACTTGCACGGCCGTCGTTCCGATCTGGTTTGCCACATTCACAACCTCAGCTGGTACATCTTCGATGGCGGCTTTTACGGGTTGCACAATCTGGTTCTCCACGACGATGATTGCGTTGCTGGCGGCGCTGCCCACTGCCACGCCAATCTCTTCAAAGGTGTCTGCAACCGCGTTTCCCGCTTTCTTCAAGGAGTCCTTGAAGTCTTGCCACCACCATCCCTTTGCGGACGCGAAGGCCAAGAAGACCAGAGACCTCACCATCAACACGTGCAGTCAACGTGCAGTCATGGCGACATGAACATGTCTGGCTGGTGCTACCTGCCCCCTCCCGAATCTAAGACCGTCGCCACAGCAAGGTCCGGCCGGATCGCTTCATGCTCGGTCAGTAAATAATACAGCCCAAACTGCCCAAACTGTGAAAACAGAAAAACAGCTGCAATGGCAAAGCATCCGCATCATGCGGCAACATGCAACAGTCACGCAACGCAACTCCCAAGCTCGCACCGGCCTTTGGCTGCGTGAATCGATAGCGAGGCTAGGCTCCATTAAAACTTGCGGGGCTGCGTTAAGGACAAATGGAAACAGTAGGGTGCAGATGGGGCTTATAGGGTTTCGGGTTTACAGGGACTACAGCTGACGTTCCTTGGCTCAGGGATTCGTCGGGAGCCTCGGGACACAAGAGCCTCCCTCGCGTGGCATCGGAGCGCCTTGATAAACTCTGGTGAAACGCGGCTGCAGATCACCGGTGGGATGGGAAGGCCGTCTCCTGAGCATTGCCCATAGGCTCCATAGTGGTTCCTTTTCGGGGTTCATATATAGAACCCTATAAGGTAATCCCAAAAAGGAACTACTATTGGAGCCCACAGGGGCCTCGAACCTGAACCCGAACGCCCAAACCAGCGAACCGAAGGTGCGCGAGCCTCGACGGGAAACCAAGTGACCATGAAGCGGAGCACCTTGCGCAGGAGAGCAGCACCTACGATACTAGAAAGGGGAACCAACATCAAAAGGATGCCAACTAGCGCATGGAGTTTTGAGGCTGTGTTTAAATCTTCCGGTTTTAGAGTTTGGCTTGGGGTTTAGGGTGTATACATGTTAGAGTCCAGGACATCTCCCATTTGGCCTGGGCAGCCGGGTTTAGAATGATCCAAAAGAGCCAAGAACGAAAGTGACGATGATATTTCTGATCGGGGGGCCGCGGGGATGGTGGTCGTGGCCGTCGGGATGGTTGTAGCATTGGGGCTCATGAGGGTGGTGGTGTAGATGCACTTCGTAGCCATCAATACCAACAGCCGACCCTCCCCTCTTCTTGAGCCGCACAAGCCCCAAACCTGAGACCTTGAGCCGCAAGCCCTCCTTACGCTCATCCTCTGTCGATGCAGCGGCCTATCCACAAGGCTAGGAACTCTCCAAACCTAAGCCAAGCCAGCCAAAGCCGGGACCTCGAGAGATAGAAGGGGGTGCAGGCATGTGGGGTTTGGATGTCTAGGGCGTTTAGCATTCAGCATGTCCTACCTAATCCCCCCCCATAGTAGGCAACATAATGGCCCAACACCCATTAAAGGCCATTATTCTACAGACTTTTGGTGTCTTTTGGAGATTTTGTGGCCCGCGCTGACTCCACAATTGAAAGAGGCAGCCTCGGATCAAAGCGACAGCAGGGCTGACTTGGACATATGAAGAGTTTTCAAAACCTGATTTGGATATATGAAGAGTTGTCAAAACCTAAGGACGCTAATCAATCCTCAAGCCTCAACTCCTCCTAAAACCTCATGTCTGTGCTTAGTCTCTATGTCATGTTGCTGAACAAGGTTTCTAGGGGATTTGGCCAGGGATGTGGTGTGCTGGTGTTCAGGTGCGGTGTGCCAGTTTGTGCCATATCACGATCAAGGCGTCTAGTGCCTAGGAGGTTTGGACTGGGCTCTTTAGCAAGTTCAGGCTTCGGTGACTTAAGCTCAACCTAACCCTAAACCGGGAGTCGCGAGTTTGCCTTAAGGGCAGTTGGGGGCTTTAGGCCTCAGGCCTCGGATCAATCGTTGGGCCTTCACATGAACAGGCCGATCTTGGGTTAGGGCTTTAGGGAGGCTAGCTCGTGGTTGGGATAGTGGGATAGTTTTAAATTTGTTCAACTCTTTACTCCTGATTGGGTTAAGTACCCATAAGCATGTAAAATGTTACCCAACTATGACAAAGTATGTAGGGCGGATCCTGATCTGCATGTCGGTGGGTGGAGGTGACATGCTTGAGTTCAAGCTTGACTTCGAGATCATGACAGCATCGAGGGTTTGGTGGTCTACTTAGCTTGAAGGATCTGGCCCGTAGCAAACATGGGTATGAGTGCCCCAAAGGCTCCATGTAGCGATATAGTATATACTTATACCCTGAAGTACCCATATAGGAACCCCTTTTAAGGCCTAAGTGTATACTAAATGGGTACATGGAGCCTTAGGGTGCTTTGTCTCATGGAAAAAGTAGCTCTGAGCTCTTAAACCTCTAAGCTTGAAGCGCCAAGGGATAAACTCTCATTCCCGAAACCCGGATGCCGAACACGACACCTCAACTTGATGTACCCTAAACCTCCGACGCCGCCCAAAATTCTCAACGAACCCTTCGACCCCAGACCCCTCACTGTGCTAAAAGTGAACCTTTTGGAATTACAAGGAGTTGTGGTATCTGTCCGAAAAATGTCAAAGGCGAATACAGGCCACTTGCTCCACCTCTATCCTAGCCAGTATCAGGGAGACCCCTAACAGGGGGACCCTTCTTACCCCTACTTCTGTCTCTCGCAAGAGGGGTTCCCCTAATCCTGACTCCTACACTGGGGCCCAAAAGCCCCAAGTAGGTAGTATTTATAGACTTTAGACCCCAAAGTAGGTGCTATTTGTATACTTGGAGCCCTAGGGCTACACTACGACCCGAGACGCCCAATGGCGGTCCCCGGCCGGGGCCAAGCGAAACGCTAGGTTCCCAAGGCTGGCACAAGGCCAGGTTGTAGGGGAACGGCAGGCTGAAACCGTGCCTTACTGCTGATGTCGGGGCTGCCCAGAGACTCCAATAGCCCTCAATGAAGGAATAGACCTTAAATCATATAAGGGATCCTACTATAATATAAGGTATATTCCTTAATTAAGGGATATTGGAGTCTCTAGGTGAGGATTTGAAGGGCAGAGTCAAAGGGTTTTGGGCTTGGGGCTTTGAAGGTTCAGGGTCTCAGACGTCTTAGAGTTCAGGTTCGGTTTTCTGAACTCAACTTTCAGGGCTGGGTTTCAGGGGTTTAGGGTCTATAGGGTCAACTTTCAAGGGGTGCGCATGTACCAGGCTTGGCTGTGGTACGCGGTTGTAACTTGCGCTACAAAGGCCCTGCGGAGCGCAAATGCCATAAACATCGATAGAAGTAGGTGTTGTAGCCGTACCAAAGTCGAGCAGTATCGGTAACCACCCAAGGAAACAACTCAAATAATTAGAATAGGTATATACATTTTAAATTTTGTTTTTTGGAGGGGTATATTCTACTTTACAAAGATAATGAGGAATTGGAAATTATTCAGGCCCCTCAATTAAACCAAACCTCAAGGGTCCGAGAGCTCCTGAGAAGGAAGCTAACGCAGGGCTCAGTAGCACTCTCTGGGTATAACTTCCCGGGTCATGGGATTTGGGGCATGGTGCAACTACCGGTTTTTCCATCCTCAAGCCCAGCTGTGAAAGAATCATGTGAGAGTTTCCGACAATTAGGGGTACCTTGTTTTGGGTCCCCTATTTTCGGAAACTCCCATGTGATTAATATGTGATTAATTCCCCAAACCCTAAACCCTAAAACCCGAAGCCCTAATTGTCTTGGAGCCTATACACGAAGCGGCCAGGCGACTTGAGCTGAAACCAGATGCCAGCAGCGGCCTTGTTCTGTTTTTGAGATCCTTTGTCTGAGTGTTTAAGAGGCTGCATGATTCCAGGTGACGCTAGGAATTTTCATGTCGGGATTTTGGAAGTTTAGGATACATATTTCTGATTTCATAGCCTCGCACTTGCCAGTCAAAGGCTTGCTTGTGTTTTTGAGGGTGAAATGTGAGCGGGAATCCAGGTATTGGGTGGTGGAGGTGACATGCGGCAGCGGCACGCGACGCAAGATAAATTCATCGGAATTAGGGAATTGCACATTGGAATGTGGAGTTTTACCCAAGTAATATGCTAAAGCACCTGTAACTATCTGAATACAATCATGCATGCATACATACGACATTCCCTCATTTGTTCCTTCCTTCATGTGTTCATTCCTTCCTCGCTTCATTCATTCACTCGCCCTTCACTCAATCAGTCATACGCATCGTGAATGGAGTCACAGCTGGCTTCATGGCCGATGAGCAGGGTATGCACTACGCTGTGAGGCGAGGACCAGTGGAAGGCCAATCAGCTCGTCAAGAATGCTCTCGTCGGGGTTGAACCTGGCCAATACAACACAAACAAAATCCAGTGCCATAAACGCTCGGCTAGCATCTTTGGAGCGGCACCTTTCAAACACGCTTGTCTAGCGCAAAACCTCCATTTGGGTAACGGCTCGCCTGTGCAATAAGCATCTGTAGCTCCAGACCGTGCAAAGCAGACGGCGGCTATGACCTGGCAACCCCTACGAATTCGGCAATATAGCAGCCTGAGTAGCCACCAAGATCATTCCGCGGGGCTTCTTACGGCATGCCTATAGTCTCCATCGTAGTTCCTTTTTTGGTTTAAACAATTATACAAGTAGGATCCTATAAGGTAACCCCAAAAAGGAACTACAATGGAGACTATAGGTAGTACCCCAAACCCTATTCTCATTAGGCCCCCATACCCTGCAGTTGGAGCAAGCTATACTGAACTTAGAACAAAAAGTTTAGCTGTTTCTTAGGGATTATAATAACAAAAAAGTAAAAATATTTCTAAGTACCCCTAAGGTTGGAGCAGGGAAGAGACTGAGACAAGAGCTTCCTCTTGCAGCATCTTCCCCCGGAGGCCCAGGAGAATCCTGGCTGGAGGCGTAAGGGTTTAGGATTTAAGTAGGGGTTTAGGGTTTAGGGGTTTGGGGGTTTGGGGGTACAGGGTTTAGGGGTTTCGGGGTTTTGCGCTTACTTGGGATTTTGACTGGGAGGCTGAGGGGAGCTGGCAGGGCGCCAAAAGCAGAATGTCTGCTAATCGCTCGTACTGCTTGGGACTTCGTTGACAATTGATCGAGGTTCTGTATCGTCATCGTGACCTGCATTCATCCTTTGTAATGGAGCCCACACTGG